GCTATAAGGCTATAGGGCTATACGGCTATAGGCCTATTAGGGCTACCGGGCACCCAGGCACCTGGCACCCGGGCACCTGGGCACCTGGGCACCTGGGCACTTAAGGGCACCTAGGAACCCGGGCACCCGGGCATCCGGGCACCCGGGCATCCCGGCACCCGGGGCACCCAGGCACCCGGGCACCCGGGCACCTGGGCACACGGGTGCTTGGGCCTCCGGGCACCTGGGCACTTGGGCACCTAGGAACCCGGGCACCCGGGCGTGCCGCCGAAATCGGTTCCATACCTCACCTAATCATATGAATCCGCTAGGACCCCTACAGAGGCAAGCTCTGCTTGGGGAATCTTTATATTTGTACATATATGTATGTATATATGAAAGAGCGTGTTCTACCGCTGCTGGCGGAAAACCGGGGGGGGTCTACCCGCTCTGGCGGGGGGGGGGGGTCCTACCGGTTCCCCCCCCCTCCCCCCCCCCCCCCCCCCCCCCCCCCCCCCCCTCGGACCCCCCCCCCCCCCCCCCCCCTGCTCATCATGAAAAGGGGGGGGGGTCACTACCGGTTCGAACCCCCCCCCCCCTCCGGATCCGGAAAACCGGGGGGGGTCACTACCGGTTCGAACCCCCCCCCCCTCGAAAACCGAGTGGGGGTGCGGACAGTGGTGGGGACGGTGTTGGTGGGGACAGTGGTGAGGGGATAGCGGGACAGTGGTGGGGACAGTGGGACAGTGGGACAGTGGTGGGGACGGTAGTGGTGGGGACAGTGGTGGGGACAATGGTGGGAACAGGGGGGGACAGTGGACAGTGGTGGTGACGGTGGTGGTGGGGACAGTGGTGTGGGGACAATGGGAATGAGGTGGAAACAGTGGGACAGTGGAGGGTACAATGGTGGTGGGGACAGTGGTGAAGGCGGTGGCGAGGACGGCGGTGGGACAATGGGACGGAGGTACAGTGGGGACAGTGGTGGGGACAGTGGGGACAGTGGTGGGAACAGTGGGACAGCTCAGTGGGACAGCGGAGGAGTCAGTGGGACAGTGGGGACAGTGGGGATAGTCGGGCAGTGGTTGGGGCCGTGGAGACAGTGGGGGAGTGAGTGGAACCGTGGTGGGAACAGTTCTGGGGACAGCGGGGACAGTGCGACAGTGGTGGGGCCACTGGTGGGGACAGTAGGGGCGGTGGTGGAACCAGTGGGGACAGCGGTGGTGAGGACAGTGGTGCTGGGAACACCAGTGGGGGATGTGATGCGGACGGTGGTGGGGACCGGGAGTCGTTTGCTGGCGGTGAGTAGGGGGGGGGGGGGGGGGGGGGGGGGGAGGGGGGGGGAGGGGTTCGAACCGGTAGTGACCCCCCCGGTTTTCCGGATCGGAGGGGGGGAGAGGGGGGGGGAGGGGGGTTCGAACCGGTAGTGACCCCCCGGTTTTCGAGCGGGAGGGGGGGGGGGGGGTTTAGGGAGGGGAGGGTTTTGCGGGGGGGGGGGGGGGAGGGGGGGGGGGAGGGGTTCCAGCAGGGGGGGGGGATTTTCGGAGGGGGGGGGGGTGACCCCCGGGCTCCGGAGGAAAAGGTTGGCAATTTTCCACAGTAAAACGGCGGTGGATCACGCTCTCTTCGTATATATATACATATATATATATTATATATATATATATCGATATCGATATCGCTGGCGGCGCATCACCGGCCGCTCCCTAGGAGTTTTGACGCATTTGGTCGGTAGTCTCTTGGAGGCAGTTTGAAGCTTCTTGGTGTTGGAGTTTGATATGAGATGGTGAGGTATAGGCAAGGCGTAGTCGGATAAGCTGCGGGAGAGAGAACCCCGTAGCTCTTGGCTCAGAGATGGGCTTGGACATGTCATCATCAGTTCGAATGTAGATCACAACGTACTTGCGCGGAGCAAGATTACGATCCACGGACGCGATGGCAACCGTCGAGCAGCTGGCCCCAGCACTCCAGGATATGCGCCAGTATCTAGATGCGGGGGGGGTGGGAAGTCGGACTCCAGAAAGGAACATGTAAAGGACATGACGTCCAGATGGATGGCGGGCATGAGCAGCACGTCGACCCGCGAGTGCTGAACAAGTGTCCGATCTTCAATGGCAAGAATGAGAGCTGGCAGGAGTGGTCCTTCATCTTCGAGAGTGTGTGCGGAATGGCGCAGTCGGAAGAAACCCACGACACGTCAGCGAGACATGCAGGATATCGGAGGTTCGCAGTGCTGAGCGACGAGCAGTAAAGAGAGGCCACACAGCTGTATGACCTGCTGGTCAACACAGTGCGAGGCAAACCACTGACGCTGGCGCGAGGCAGTGAGAAGCAAAGTGGCGTCCTCGCGTGGAAGAAGATCAAAGCAGAGTACCATCCAGACATCGGCCTCAGACTCACCTCTCTGCTGATGGGGATCCTACATCCAGGCTGGGATCAAAAGGTGACAGGGCAGGAGTTCGCGACGGAGCTCATGGAGTGGGAGACACGCGTCAGAAACTACGAGATTGAGAGCACCGAGGCGGTGACGGACCCAATGAATATTGCAGTACTTGCGTCGCACGCTCCAGATTTGATCAGAGCAGTGGTGAGGCTAGCGACTGGTCCCGCGCAGGGAAGATACACAGAGCGAACCAGAGCGTCAAGGATTTCTTCAGTACGGCAAGACCTTCAATAAATATGGCAAACAAAAAACTCCAGGGTGCCTACTGTGCCTGGCGTGCACTTCCCCTCCTCTCTTTTGTTTCACCGGGTTATCCCACGCGGCTGGGGTTGCCGCCTATACCGTTGTCTGATGGTGCTCTGACAGCCTGAATTGTTGACGCTTCGCGTATCCCCACCAGCCCATCCAGAAACGATGTTCAGGAGAGTTGAGGTGATCAGGGAACTCGGGGAGCATGCAGAGTAACAAAGAGCGGGGGAAGCTGTCACGTACCCCAAGAGGGGGAGGATGGAAAAGGAATCCTCGTCGGAGGGGGAGGGGGAGGAAGAGGAGGAGGAGGAGGAGGAGGAGGAGGAGGAGGAGGAGGAGGAGGAGGAGAATGAGGAGGAGGATGTGGAGTAGGGAGAGGACGAGGAGGACGAGAAGGAGGAGAAGGAGCAGAGGGAGGAGGAGGAAAAGGAGGAGAAGGAGGAGGAGGAAGAGGGGGATGAGAAATTGAAGAGGACGGCGAACCGAAGAGCCATAAGCGTCTTAAATGCATTTCGGAGATTTTCTTGGGGCTTCTTGGGGGTCTCTTGGGGGCCTCTTGGAGGCCTCTTGGGCGCCTCTTGGGGCCGTCTGGGCGCCTCTTGGGGCGTTCTTGGGGCGCCCTTGGGGGCTGTAGGGGCGCTAGTGGGGCCATCTTGGAGGAAATCGATCAACGAAGGGGGGTTCCTAATTAGCCTCCCCCCTCAGGAGCTCCAAACATCGCTTCTTGGGGCGCTCTTGGAGCGCTCTTGGGCGCTCTTGGGGCCGTTTTGGGGTTCTCTTGGGCCTCTTAATGGGGCCCTCTTGGGCCATCTTGGAGCCATCTTGAGACCTTTGATGGCCATCGGAAGCGAGACGGGAAGAAAGCAATCAACATTGATTTTCCTAAGGTTTTGGTACGATTTTGGCCTCATCGGGGCCTCCTTGGGGGGCTCTTTGGCCACTTGGAGCCGCCTTTGGGCCGTCTTTGGGCCACTTGGAACCATCTTAGGAGCCATCTCGAGCGATCTTGCGCTATCTTGAGCCATCTTGGAACTCATATTGGGCTCCCTGACGCGCTCTTGAAGCCATCTTGGGGCCAAACGAACCGTCCGACCGCTCGGGGAAACCTCCGTCCAGGTCCAGGGGAGGGGGTAGGGGGAGGGGGAAACCCCTCCCCAAAGGGGGAAGAGGGAGGGGTGGAAGAGGATCTGTTCTAGACCACATACGCCCAGAGGGCTGGTGGGATTCCATGCAAGGATCACACTGGGGATGGGCGGTCAGGTGGCCCCTGGCCTGCTCCTGGCTGGTGTCGGCCTCCACTGGTGACCGAGAGGGTTCAGTGGGGTCTCGCTACGCGCCGCCGCCGCCGCCGACGACGACGACGATGACGACGGGGACGACGACGACGACGATGCAGACGCTGACGCCGACGCCGACGCCGACGCCGACGCCGACGCCGACGCCGACGCCGACCGTCGCCGACGCCGACGCCGACGCCGACGCCGACGTCGATGCCGACGCCGCCGACACCGATGCCGACGCCGACGCCGACGCCTACGCCGACGCCGACGTCGACGTCGACGCCGCCGGCGGACGACGACGACGACGACGACGACGTCGAACCAGCTCACGCCCACAGGGGTACGGGGGGTGCACCAGCACTTTCAAACCACCACCACAGGAGGGGAGATCGATCCGATTCGTGAGGTTTTCGCGAGGTTCGCGGGCGTACCCGTCCAGCGGGGGGTGGCTGGATCCCGTATGATTATGGGGCAACCGTGGATCATGTGTTTCACGGGTTTGGGTAGGGCCAGGCCAGGTCGTGTCCCGCAACAGAGGCCAACGCTGCACGCGCGCACGTTCCCGTGTTCTCCGCGAATTTATTCACGCATGCAAGTACTTGAGCAGGCATGCAGGCATGCATGACTGTTCGTATGAGGCACGTAAGGGGGCAAACAGGCAAGCAAACGATCATTCAAACCAGTAGGGCAACACCTCCTGCTGGGCAGGGAGGAGTATAGCATGCGCGGGGAAATGGTGCGCAAGTGGCGTGGACTTCGATAGTTTCTGCACGAGAGGTTGGATTCGAGGTTGGTGCTTTGCAATCGTTTCGTTGGCAGGATGGCATTTTTTGCAGAGGAGCAGGCACAGGATGCTTGTATAACATGCCCGAATAGCATTCGATCGGTACTTTATCCATTCTCGTCTACCTCGAATGGCGCACGCATGAGCCTATCGACGCTTTGTCTTTCTACGCTCACGTGCTCTCTTGTACACTGAGCATTCGGGGCTTTCTTTGCTAGTGCAGTCGCCACTCGCTGCTGCTGCTGTTGTTGCTGCTGCTCCTCCTCCTCCTCCTCCTCCTCCTCCTCCTCCCCTAGCCCCACCCTGAACTCATTATCCTACCACCCTCCGCCCTCCGCAAGGGTGGAGTTGACAGTGGCTCCTCTCTTTTGTCACGAGCTGGCCTTCACAGTTTTCCCGCCCCAATCGGACCCCAGTGGGGAATATCATGTTGGTCTGTCAAGTGCGTGTGCTGATGAAAAATACGTGCTCAGCTTGCTGCTCCCTGCAGGAGTACTGGCGCCGGCAGATTGTCGATCGACAACAGAACATCCGCTTCAGGCAGTGCAGGGACGACCTGGTCCTGGACACCGACATGGGCGCATGCCTTGCAAAGTGGCCCGACCATACTGCCAATCTTGTTTTCCATTGCTTTACTTGCTCACTTTTTGGGGGGCGATGGCGATTTCCTTGTTGGTAGAGCGATGCTGGTCCCGCGCGATCGCAGCACTACGAAGGGACCTCCACCGTAGCGGCTCTGAACCCTGCTTGCTGGGCGAAAGTTCTTTACCGTCGCCCACTCCCTTTCCCATCCTCCTCCCGCCTGCCTCCCTTCTCGTTCCCCCCTAGCTTGGAACCAGTTGACCCGGACGATCTCCATTGCTCCTGTTTGTAGCTTTGCCATCAGTTCCTTTATTTTTTGCCCTCCCCTGCTCTGATGAAGCGTTGCCCCAGTGCGAGGTGGGATGTGAGCTTCGAGACCAAAGGCCGCAATGGCGATTGGAGGCCCGCTACGTTACTTGTCCATGCTAACTCCGACCTTTCATTGGCCATCGGTCGTATCTGTCCCCCCGCATGCTCTGCGCTATATTTAGCCGCGCTCTGTACTATAAGTGTTGAAGCACACACACACACTTACATTCACACTTGCACACACTTACATTGCTACACACATTTACACATGCACACTTACACAATTCACCCTTACACACTTACACATTTACACATCTACACACCTACACACTTACACGTTTACACACTTACGCATTTACATGTTTACGCACTTACGCACTTGCACGCTTACGCACGTACGCACTTACACGCTGACACATTTACGCAATTCCGCATTTACACACGTACACACTTACACATTTACGCATCTACACACTTACACACTTGCTTACACACCTACACACCTACACTGACACACTCACACACTTGCATACTTACACGCTTACGCACTTACCCACTTACATAGTTCGACACACACGCACACTTGCACATGCAGACGCTTACACACTTACACGCCTACACACTCGCACACGTACGCGTTACACACCCACACACTTACACACGTACACACTCACACACACTCACACACCTGCACATTTGCACACCTATACACCTACACACGTACATACTAATACACTTACACCTTTACATAGTTACACGCACGTACAAATTTGCACAATTGCGCACTTACTCACACACTTACGCACTTACGCACTTACATACGTGCAGACGTGCACGCCTACACGCATACTTACCTGCACACTTGCAAACGCTGACACGTACACAGCTACACACTTACACTCTTACGCGTACGCACACACACTTACGCGCTTACACACCTACTTCCGCCCGTACACGCCTATACACTTACACGCTTACATGTCTACATATTTACACACTTAAGCGCTTACACACAGTTACGCACCTACACATTTACACATACTTGCGCTTTCACACTTGGACGCCTACACACCTACACACTTACACACTTACGCACTCCTACACCAGCATACTTACACACCTACGCACTTACGCTCTTACACACTTACACACGCACATACTTACACATTTACGCATTTACGCACCTACGCACAAACACACTTTCACATATACGCATCCACACACTTACATACTTACGCACCCACGCATATACATACCTACACATGTACGCAATTTCGCATTTACACACCGGCACACTTCCACACCCAGGCACTTTTACCTTTACAAATTTGCAAATTTGCACACGTACGCACTTACACATTTGCACGCTCACACACTTACACACTTACACACTTACACTCTTGCACACTTACGCTCGCACACACTCGCACGCACTTCCACACATGCACGCTTACACACTTACACACTCACATACCTGCACACTTACACACAGACACACTCAACCGCGTACGTGCTTACACATTCACGCGCTTGCACGCTCACGCTCTCGCACACCCACACGCTCAAACACATATACATTTGCACCCTTCACACACCTACACACTTACCCACAGAAACACTTACACACTTGCACACGTACACATTCACACATTCAAACGCTCACACGAGTTACATACTCGCACACATCACTCACCTACACGCACGTACGCACTTACACACTTTCTTTCACCCGTGCACACTTGCACACTCCCACACACATATTATACACCTACATACCTACATATTTTAACGCACTTACACAGCTTCACACCTACACACTGACACGCGTTTGCACTTACACTCTTTGCGCACTTACACACCTACACGCACACGCTTACGCATTTACACACTTACATAGTCACATACTTGCACACTCATACACCTACAACTTCACACACTTACGGCTTTACACAATCTACACATATACACACTCACGCGCTCACACACCTACACACTCACACACTTGCGCACTTGCACACCCGCAGTCCTACACTTACACTTTTACACACTCGCGCACTTAGGCGCTTACGCACGTGCACACTTATACACTTGTACACTTATACCCTTACGCAGTAACACACTCACACACTTACGCGCGTACACACTTACCCACTTACACACTTGTACATTCACACCATCACGCGCACTTTGCGCTTACAAGCTTACGCATTTACACAGCCATGCTCTTAATGCTTAGGCACTCATGCACCCTCACGCCTTTACACCTTCACTCTTACACACTTCCACATTTACTCACTCGCGCACTTGCGCGCGTGCACACTTGGGCACCCACGCACTCGCACAGTTACATAGTTACACGCGTACACACTAAACTGCAATTTTTCAGAAACCTGATCGGACAAGATAAGGCGCGGACGACGAGGAGGCGATGGCGAGGACCCTAATATGTCCAGAGAGAGAGAGGGAGAGAGAGAGAGAGAGAGAGAGAGAGAGAGAGAGAGAGAGAGAGAGAGCCCCAAGAGGGCCCCCACATGGCAAATACATCCAAGAAAGTCCAGAGCTGGCCCAAGAGGGCATCGGGAACCCAAGCCAGCTAGAAGGCCGCAAGACAGTATAATAAGGGTCCCACGACGGTCTTGCGACACGCCCAAGATGCCCCCCCCCCCCCAGATCCAAAGAGGGCTCCGAGACGGCCCAAGAGGGCCTCCAGACGACCAAAGAGGGTACCAAGAGGTCCCCGAGACCGCCCCACGGGAGCCTCAAACGCCCCGACTCGGCCCAGGTAAGCGCCGTGAGAGCTCTTCAAGAAGTGCAAACGAGCGGTCCGTAACCATTATGGTGGAATTGTCCGTTCAGAATAAAGCTTGAGACGCTCGCGCGCCTTCTGGTATCAGTAAGTCACGAAGTCTGCTCTGCGCAACCCGTCTGGCCCGCCTGATGCTGATCTGGGGGGAACTGCGCGCGTCAGTTCTCCAAGCGGACAGACCAGCGTGGAAACGCAAGCGTCGGTCTTGAGCATGGTCGAGCGGCGGTTGTCTGCCAAGATGGAGAGTGAGTCAGCCAGTGGCATGTGCGCCGGAATATTAGCGGTGGCAATGGTTCCAGTATATGACGGGGCATGCCCTGTCAGTCAGACGCGGGCGCAGGAGCGCAGCGATTCCAAAGTTGGTTTCTCAATGTAGACACCAGCGCACCGCTTGTCGAGGCGTCTCAACCAGCGCGTCGAGGGCGACATCCTGTTCTACAGGGATCGCGCGATGCCCCGCCTGATCTGTCGCGCCCCGCGGTGGCGCGATGGCCAGGAGGCCGCGCCCATGCGCGATTCGACGCTGCTTGTCGCCGTCGACCGCTCATGGATCCAGCTACTCAGCTCGACGGGCACTTTGGTCGTGGGCGGCGAGGGCGGGGTGACCTCGACGCGCTTCGTGGAGGAGATGAAGAGGAGAGGGGTGCAGGTTGACATCCGTGCTCCGCGCCATCGCCCTCGCTTCGCCGAGCGGCGCGGGGTCAAACTGCGCCCGGCGCGTTGCGCCGCGGAGGAGCATCTGGGGCACGAAGGCAGCGCCGTGAACTTCGACTCCAGGCTAGCGCGTGCCATTTTTGCTGGCAACAGCTTCACCCACGTTGGCGGCGTTGCGCTATGCGACGTTGCCCCTGGGCGGCAGCCGCCCATGCTGCCGCCGCTCGATGCAGACGAACAGGGCGAGGCATCCGGCGACTGCGTCGATGGCGCCGAGCCTCCCACAGGCGGGGGGGGGCTGCCCAGCCGACTGCAGTGGCGCATCCAGGATATTGCCCTGCAGCGCATGAGCGAATCCACATCGATTGCGCGCGTCAACCGCGCCCGCGGGGCCCGCGCCACCGAGTCAGGGGAGGGCTGCTTCAACGTGGGCGACCAGGTGGAGATCCACAGGTCGCCAAGTACCAAGGATGTGCCAGGTTGGGTGGGCCCTGGGGCAGTCGCGCCCGTTGATCCGGCTCGAGGCAAGGTGGCGGTCCAGTGCCGCCGAGTCGAGGTGGTCTGCAGACTGCGTGGCGCCCGGATCTTCATCGGTGCCGTCTTCGACGAGATGGGCGTCGGCGTGGTTCGGGCAGGCTTGGCCCGGGGCCGCGGGCAGGATTACCTGGGGCACGCGGCGCCTGGCTCGAGGGCCAGGACCTTCGGCCACTGGGATGACGCAAATGGCGCGCAGCTCACCGATCAGGACAGACGTCCTCGGAGCTCTACGCCAGATGTCCCGCAGAAGCTTTCAGCAACCAGACGTTCGCGCTGTGCGACTCATTCGCGGACGGAACTCTGTGGTCAAATGGCCGGACTGCGTTCGCGGCCTGGCCGCCTGGTGGTTCTCTCGGAACCCTGCCGATGTTCGGCCGATCCACCTCAACGGCGTCTCGTTCGACGCCCATCAGCTCATCGGCGAGCATTTGCTGGGGGCTCGCGTCATCTAGTTTATCTAGGGTGATGAGCCGATCAGGGTGACAGACGCTGGACGGGGCCTGGACGGGTTCGACGACTGCGTCATCGACGCCCCCGAGGACACCGCCAGCGCCGCCGAGGGTGGATCACCGTCGGCCTTGTCGGCTGTGCCAGAGGGGGCTGGAAGCGACATCTCCGGCCGCGTCCAGCAGGTGATGTTGGCAGCTGGGCGCGAATTTGAGGGGCAGGAGATCTGCCCTGGGAGCTGGATGAGCTGGGGAGCGCCGGCGTCCAGTTTAATATCATATATCTCCGCTGCTATCGAGCACGCCGCGGCAGACCTGGGCCGCGGCCCACGCGAGTGGCCCCGGCGCCTCGAGACGAAGCGCCAGCGTCGGGGCATTCACGCGCAGCGCCACTACTATTTGCGCGGGTTCTCCTTGGGCGACTACGCCGCGCCAGGGGGGGGGGCAATGTAGGCGGACGTGGGGTTGCATCTTGATCCAGGGGCGCGGGGGGCATTCTTTAGCTTCGGCGAGGCTGCGCCCGGCGACTGCGTCGCCGAAGACGGTCGCGCCCGGCGACTGCGTCGCCGGCGCCCCGCGGGCAGCCGCGCTTGATTTTGATGCCGTCGAGACCGCGGTTGTCGAGCGCGACGCCGACCTTCTGTCCACAGAGGAAGTGTCGAGGCTGTCGGG